AACCCTCGCCACTTAGCGCTTCGACTTCCGCGGCTTCACTCTATCGCGGTTTTTGCGTAACAGCGCATGCTCTGTCATTACTGCCACTGATTGGCTCATACTGTACATGCTTGATGCCATAACTAATATAATAAATAAGAAATGATCATTGTAATGTCCAAAATGTTTTACTGTATTTTCCCTTTTTCGTTTAATAAATTGGGTAATACGACTGTAATGGTGACTAAAGGGTGTTTTTTCATGTCCTCTATGCTCTAACTACGAAAATATTTGATTTACAAATAAGGAATCCTACTTCGCGGAATTTCATTTATCACGGTCGGGTCTAGAACTGATTAACCGCGATAAACGAGGGTTCACTGTGTGTATATATATATATATATATATATATATAGAGAGAGAGAGAGAGAGAGAGAGAGACTACAAAAGTTCATGGGAAAATTCCATGATCTTTTAATACCATTTGTTCACAAACTTTTTAAACTGCCTCATATAGGTAAGGGTATGTTTTGCATATGTTCATTTACACCATAAAGCCCACAGAGGACACACACAGACACAGTTCACGTACCCATTTCTGTCATGAGATCCCAGCCGGAGTCCAGGGTTTGCTTTCCCCACTTGAGTCTAAAGCTGTTTCACACCCCAGTTAGTCATGCCATGATGAGACACCCTGGCAAGTCTCAGCTGAGGAGCTATCAAAGTGAAACACATCGCAGGTGCTTTTGAAGAGAATATTCCCGAAGCGGCCACTGAGTGCGAGCACAAGACTAGCAGAGAGTTGAAGAGGGTGCGAGACAGGTCAGAAAGCAAAATGCTATGGTGAACATGGCTGGGTGCTTGCGTGTGGATTCTGATTAAGTGGCCCCAGGGGGCAGAATACAACTGCCCCAGAGAGTTTCCTGGGCCGTAATCTGTACAGAAGCAGCTCGAACTACAGAGGCACTCTGTGAGTTGGAACCGCCAACATTGTGGTTAGCACCCCTGGGTCTCAGAATGGAGTATAGTGATAGAGAAAAATCAGTAAGTAGGGGACCCTGGCTTGGAGAAGCAGTTCAAACAATCACTCCAGGAATAGTCTGTCTGACGCACAACCACTGAGTCGATGCCAACTCCCAGCAATCCCTTGGACAGTGTAGTCCCTGGGGATTGCCGAGACTGTAACTCTTCATGGGAGTAGAAAGCCAGTCTTTCTCCCATGGAGCAGCTGATGTTTTCAAACTGCTGACCTTGCAGTTAGCGTCCCAACTCCTATGCCACCAGGGCTCCTTAAGGAATAATCTCCAGAGCCTGTTATTTTTATTGACCAATTGCCATTAAGTTGAAGCTAACTCATCGCAGCCCCTTGTGTGTCAGAGTAGGACTGCGGTCCAAAGTGTTTTCAATGGGGAGTTTTCCAGAAGTAAGCCACTAGCCTTTTCTTCGGAGGCATCCCTTAGTGGATGTGAATGGATGCACATCTCCAACTTTCTGGTGCGCAACAGTTGTGTTTCATCCCAGACAATTAGTGTAAAGCGCAGCTACCTTCTGTCTATTCCTAGAAGCTTGTGTTTTGTGTGACACGATGAGGTCAGAGGTTCAAAGCCACCAGCCACTCTCCTTCTGCCCAAGATTTACAGCATCAGAATCCTAAAGTGGCAATTCTGCTCTGTCCTGGAGGGAGGCAATGATGTGGGAACAACTCAATAGCAGTGGCTCTGTTTTTACAGACTTTTACAGAATTCCAGATGTACGAGGAAGAAAAGCCTGGTGATCTACTTCCAAAACTCTGTCAATGAGAAACCTATGGGTCACAGTTACCACGTCCCCACCCAGTCATGGAGATGACACCGGGCTGAGAGCATCCCTTTCCATTGTACAGTCACCATAATTTGGGGTCCCAATCAATAGCAGCTATCATCAAAAACAGTACTATTTTTGTCTACTATACAGATAAAGTATTCATTATACTACTACTACTTGCTGAATGTATTAAGGAGCCCTGGTGGCATGTTGGGTTAGGCATTGGACTGTGAACTTCCAAGTCAGGGATTCAAACCCACCAGCCATTCTGAGGGAAGGGACAGAAATGAGGTCAACTCCAGAGGTTAGAATAGAGTCAGTGATGGTGGGTTTGTGTGGAGTGATTGAGTTTGTATTATGTGCCAGGAACCCTTGTCGCTACTCCATAAGCATTCCTCTTTTCATCCTCACCAGAAACTGATGAGGGGTGGCAGCTGGGGAGGCACAGGGAATGTCTCTTTACCCAGTCTTGCGGCAAGAAGAGCAGAGCTGGATTTTGTGTCCAAGGAGTCTGGCGCCAAAGGCTGCCGCTTCCCCACCAGTTTGAACAGCTTCTCTAGGACAGGTTCCAGGACAGGACAGGCTTGTGGACCATCACTCCAGGGCAGGCGCTTCTGCCATGACATCAGGATCTCAGGAAGTTGTATCAGGCATGTGGAATGCCGGGAATCTGAGAGGTCCTCCCATGCCTTTCCCAGGGCAATGCTGTCAGGATCACAGACAGTGTGTCCCTGTACCCTGGGAGCTCATCCCACCAGCCTCTGTCATTAAGGTCGCTGCTTGGACCCCCACAGCTGGGTCTGGGTCAAGGACAGTATGTCAGGGAACCACCCAGGCTCTCCACCTGAATTGGGCTCCCCCTAAACGGCCTTTTCAGTTTGCAGAGCAATGCTTCCACCATACAAAGTCACAAATCAAATGACCTTCCAGTCATGCAAGCCGCGAGGCAGGCTGGTGGCTCAGAGGTTAAGCTTTCAGCTGATGACTGATTGGTTTGATCAGTAGGTCAAACCTACCCAATGGGTCCATGAAAGAAAGATGTGTCAGTCAGCTCCCAGAAAAATTCCAAAACACAGCCCAAACCCACTGCTCTTGAGTCCAGTCCGACTGGTGGCAACTCTGCATAAGCTTCCTGAGACTGAGACTCTTCACCAGAGCAGACAGCCTCAGCCTCTCCGAAGGAGTGCCCAGTGGGTTTGAATTCTATTGAGTTTGGGGTATGCAGTGCAATGCTTAGCCCACAGCACCACCAGGGCTTCTGCGCATAATGATCACAGGCTAGAACAGTTTTTTGTCCTCTGTCATGTGGGACAGATGAGTACGAATCAGCCCAACTGCACCTAGCAACAGCAATACATACAAAGAGACTTAGTAAACGAGCACATTTGAGCTCATTGCCCATCCTTTGCTCTTCCCAACAGAATGCACTATAGTTGTCTGTTTCCAATTCCTACGGGCAAAGCTCTCCTCTTGCCATCTCCTTCCATAATCTCCTAATTAATTTCTGTTTTCTTTTTTGCTTCTAAAGATTCAAATGGACATTTTCAATTAGGAGCATGCTAGAAAAAAGTAGTCTAAAAATTGCTTGTTTTAAAATAAGCCATTAGAAAATCACAATTTCCAATTATGCTCTTTTTCTTTCTCACACCGACCTGATTCTGAATTTTTTTCTTGGCCAAAATTGCATTTATTCTCACCCCAAGCATGTGTTTTAATGGCCATGGAATTCCAATACCTCTGCTCCATTATTCTGCCACGTATGTACTACGGTTACTTAGCAGCTTCTTCGTCTTGAGAATCAACACGGGTTTCCTGTATGTGGATCGTCTCTGGTTACTTATTTTAATCAATGTTATTCCTCTCAGGCTTGATTCTTATCATTCTCCTTGATTGGGATATTCCTGGAATGGAGGCGATTTTATAGACAAACCGTGCAAATTCTGCCGAGACTATCAGAAACATTAACTGTGTTTTTCAGTAGATGGCCCTACACAGCATAAATTGTAATAAAATTGGTATTGTAGTTACTTGTTGGGTTCTAACTGAAAGATCACTAGTTCAGAACCATCCACCACTCTGCAGGAGGAAGGCTCGGATTTCTACTCCCGTCATGAGTTACAATCTCAGAAGCACACAGGGGCAGTTCTAGCTGGTCCTTTAGGGTTGCTAAGAATCAGCATGGGCTTGATGGCAGTGAGGATGGATGGATGGATGGATGGATGGATGGATGGATGGATGGATGGACGGATCTAATCATCAGGGCAAGATTTACAGGTAGCGCAAAAACAGAAATCTGATCTTGTTTTTTTTGGTCAGCACTGGCTCCCAGGACTAGCGTCAGGACCATGTCTGCCGTCCTTCTGGGAGCTGGGGAAAGAGTCACCCTCTAGAGACGGAGCCTGCGCTCCCCAAAGTGCAGCTGAAATTAATGGGAGGCCGAGCCAGAGCTCCAGCTGTTGAGGCAGAGGATGCTAATAAACAAATGTGTTTCCACAAATCCACCAAGCTTGCTTTTGAAAATTATTTTTACGTCTGGTAAACAAACCCATATTCTCTTTTCTTGGCTGCAAATGAACTAATTCTTTAGAGAATAATCATACCCAGACTGGTTAACGTAGTTCGCGATTCTTTTTTTTGTTTGTTTTCCTTTCCTCTCAGAAATTACATTATTCACCCAAACGTTTTTCTCTCAAATTGCTAGAATGGGAAACTTGAAAATTATGGTGAGCAGAAACAGTCACTGCTCAGGTCTAGTTTATGTACGCTTGTTGCCTAATTAGTCGGGTGTTTTGCTTTGTTTTGTGTTGTTTTCACTTTGCCAACTTGTGTGTCCAAAATGTAACCTCATAAATCAGTCACAGATACTCTAACTCTGTAGCAACATCACATCAGAAGTGAGGCACTGGCCGTGGGGCCTGCGGGGAGAAACCAGTTGCTGATGATTAGCTTGCCTCTAAGCACACATTATAAATAAAGGTCCACTGCTAGACCTCCAGTGCCTTTTCCTTAATAACGGGGACAATTAAGGGATGTCCTCAACCCCTACACAAATCCGTGTTTTGACAGCACACACAAACCAGGGTACAGCAAGTTCAAGGACTCTTCTTGGCAGGTCACATTGAGACCCTGCCTATTGCATATGAGGCAACTGCTAAGCGGTTGACATTGGAGTTGCAAGCTGCTTACAACATTCTAAAGCCAACGTACTCCTTTTTCAGGGCCGCTGTTCAAGAGAGAACTGCAAGTATCTTCACCCTCCGACACATTTAAAAACTCAGCTAGAAATTAATGGAAGAAACAACTTGATCCAGCAAAAAACGGCAGCCGCGATGCTCGCCCAGCAGATGCAATTTATGTTTCCGGGAGCGCCGCTCCATCCAGTGGTGAGTACGTTTGATCTGATGACAGGCTTGATGGTGTAAGTGTTGGTACAGGACCTAAACTGGCCTCCCTCTACTTGGTTGCTTGGGCTACAGTGAAAGCAGATCATTTTGAAGCTAATCAGATGCTAGAAAATAGTTTTGCTTTCAGTGAGAAGGTGTGTTGGGGAACTGTGGGCCAGGACAATTTTGGGTCAATGTCTTGGAGGTAGGCACCGCTCCCAGTTGCTCTCCTCAGTGGATGCCTGGTTTGAACCATCCGAGAATGAAAATCAAGAGAGTAGTACACAGGTTAAGAAAGGAAACCTGTTTCTCAGTGTGTCCGTAAGCCGAGTTTGTGGGTACGTTAGAGCAGGTGTGCACTGTGCAGCTAGGGAAATTGATGGTGGTGAACAATTGTTACATCATTCCCAACTGAGAGCAAACTTACATAATATTCGAGGGAGTGTACCACTTACCCCTAAACTGGCCCTTCATAACCATGAGTTTTACTACAATTCTGAGTGGATTGATCATCTGTGTAGGGAAGTGCGCTTTCGATGCCAAATGCATTTTTTAGTAAAGGAGCTGGTAGATTATGTATCTCCATGGAATCATCTTTGGTGTCATTTTAAAGGAGCCCGGATGACACAGTGGTTACAGCGCTTGGCTGCTAACAAGAAGACCAGCCCTTTGAGCCTATCGGCACCTCTGTGAAAGGAAGAGGAGGCAATGGGCTGGAGTCACAGCCTGGGAAGTCAGGGGCTGAGCTCCACGCAAAGGCAATGGTTTTCTTTTTTGGAATCATATTAGAGATGAGAACAATGGAAACCCAGAAGAATTCAATGAATGACCCTAAGTCCTGCAGTTAATAAATACATGGTGGAGCTGGGACTCAAAAACAGTCATTTGGGCTTTGGCTTTTTCTCCGCTTGTTGCTCTGCTTCAATCTGAGAGCCTTCCCCTTCAAAACAGTTCTCAAAGGCAATCGTTTGGGGAAAGGAGACTTCATGCTAGTCATTTATACAGCCTGTGTCTCAGAGGCATGCAGAGAGGGTGACAGCAATGACAATGAGTACCTGATTACGCACCTGGAGCTACGCAAAGGGCTCTGATGTATTTGTATCATGTTGTCAGCAAGCACTTCCTTAAAAATTGGGAAATCCTTGTAGCAATGAGAGGCCTGGAGATAAAGGAGTGCATTTGACTGTTAGTGGATTTCACTTACATTACAGAATTATTTCTCAAAAACAGGCTGTTGTGTTTTGGGTTTGGGTTGTTGTTGTTGAAACAAAGCCAGTGATGTGAGTGAATTTTTTTAATAAGAACCCATACATAAAAGACGATTGTTTGAACATCAGTCTTTGTTGTAGGAAAAGCTGCATGTTACTGAAAGAAGGACCAGAGACAGGGGTGTTCAGTTGTCTTCTTGTGTCCCTAAAATTGTGGGGGAGGGCAGGAGGGAGAGTCGAAGAAGAGGGGCTCCAATCTGGGCAAGTTGTCAGCAATTTGGTTTCAACTCTGACTTCCTACTTGAAAGTAGAGGCATGGAAGCCTTTCATTGAGTCAAAAAGAAACACCAAGAGGGGGGGCTCAAAGGAGGAGATTCTTGGAAAGGCCTTCTGCGGGCAGTGCAAAGTCCCCTTCAGGCAGATGGCATGACGGAAATGGACAAGGTGGGTATCTTTATCCGAAACTGGGAGTAGAGGCTCGATATGTCAGGGTTCACATGCAGTTCTGAACTTAAGACCTTTGAGTGGTTCTATTGATACATGTGTATAATTTATGCTTTTCTTTATTGACATACACATATAATTGATTATGAACTTACTTATATGCTAAGCATAATTTACTAACACATATCAAATGATGTTTATAGGCATTTATTTAGGGCCATGAAGAGCAACCGAGTGGTAACACTACATGAGAGGATTTCGAAAAGTTCAAGGAAAATTTCTGTTATTTTTCATTCTGTTTTTTCCAGGGGTTTTTTGAAGCCCCTCAGATTAGATGTCTCCTTCAGTCTTTACAATACGAGTTCCAGTCGTCTCCCTGTTGATTCTGACTGAAGGCAACCTGATGTATGATTGGGCCGAACCGAGGAAAAGCTTCATAGGGGTTTCAATGGCCAATGTTTTGCAAGTAGATCGACAGGCATTTTTCCAATGTGCTTCCGGGTGGCCTCTAACCTCTAACCTTTCAGATTCAGGTACCATTTCAGTCAACTCTTTACCACTCCTAGACTCCCTCCCTCATACATCGCTGATCTTGGCACTCAACAGTGGCAATGTAATAAGAAAATTCCATTCATGTATTGTGTCAAATATGAACCGGAATTTCATACACATGGCTTCTCTATCTCAAAAGGAAGATGAAGTAGAAATATTTGAGTAGGCGCTTTTGAACTATATTGTTGTGAGGTATCCTCGAGCCTCTTCTGACCCCTGGTGACGCTCTGAGCAACAGAAGGAAGCATCGCAGGGTCCTGGGCCGTGCTTACAACCGAACCTGTTATTACAGCCAGCAACCCATCTCCTGGAGGGGCTTCCTTTTTCTCAATGTCTCCGTTTTACCAAGCATGATGGGTTTCTCCAGGGTCCAGTCTCTTCTGACAACATGTCTAAAATCCGTGAGTCTTGCCAGCCTTCCTTACCTCTAAGGAGCATTCTGTCCATACTTCGTCCAAGAGAGATTTGCTTGTCCTTTTGGCAGTCCATGGTACGTTCAATATTCTTACCCAGCACCACAATTCAAATGCATAAAATCATTGAGGTCTTCCTTATCCAGTGTCTAAATTTCACATGCAACGTGTCTTATAATCTCTTGACTATTGCTTCCATGAGTATTGATGATGGATCAAAGCAAAAAGAAATTCCGACAACTCTCATTAACATTGGTCCAGTTATGAAGATTTGAAGCTATAGGAAGGATTATAGGATTATATATATTATTTAAGTGACAAGCTTAAAAATCACCAATAGCCTGCATCTTACTTAAGGCTCTGAGAAGTAAATTAATGAGTTGGTGTGGGGTCTGGAGCCTGTCAATGTTGCCTTAAATGGAAGTAGATTGTTTGCAGCTGTGGTTAAGTTCAGCAAGTTGAGATGAAAAGATTCTCCTGGATTAAAACCAATAGTTATACATATCCTTGTACCAGAGAGACCGAAAGGATTGGACAGACCAGAAGAGAGGAAAAGCAATGTGGCCATAATGTCAGTGATTGGAGTGATGTGGCCATGACCAAGAAAAGCCAGGGACTGGAAGACGGGAGAAGCCAGAGACTAATCCTCCCAAGAGCCTTCTTCAGAGGGTGTCCACGGTTACTGACACCTTGAGTTTATCCCAGTGAAATTAATTCCCAACTTCTGGTCGCCAGACCAATGAGTGAATAAATGTCTGTGATTTTAGACTATTTGTTACAGAAGCTACAAGAAACCAATACACACAGAATTTGCTTAATACAAATAATTTAATAAGCAAAGAGTAGTGCAGACTATTCCATTTCTAGATTTTTTTTAAGCTCTAAAGAGCAATGAATAATTTTTTCCCACTTCATCTACCATCAACCCCTGAACTCATTCTATTGACATGTCTCTGATCAAAGTTATCCAAGGTTATCTCTCTGATCACCAATATTCTTCAGGGTAACAACCATTGATCAGTTTTTGTTCTTCATTTTATTCACTCTTTTACAATCTTGCAGGATTCCTGGTGATATCATGATTAGGGAATAACAAGTGATTTAAAATCAATGACAAGGAGGGCATAGGATGCCTGGTGGGACTTGATCAAGGACAATGTAGCCGAGAGCAATTACTGAAACCCAAATGAAGGCTGAACATGATAATGGAACAAGAGGAAAGTAAAAGAAAATAGAGGAAATAACTAGGAGGCAAAGGACATTTGTAGAGGTTTAAATACAGGCATGTACATATGAAAATATATTTATATACAGCAATAGGGGAATAGATCTATGTACATATATTTATATGTTAAGTATTAAGGTAGCAGATGGACAATGAGCCTTTACTCAAGTACTCCCTCAATGCAAGAACACTTGTTTCTAATAACCCAGTGTTCTGTGATGTTCACCTTCCCGACAAGATCACTAAAGACAAAATGGGTACATAAGCAAATGTGGTGAAGAAAGCTGATGATGCCAGGCTATCAAAAGATATAGCATCTAGGGTTTTAAGGGCTTAAAGAGAAACAAGCAGCCATCTAGCTGTGAAGCAACAAAGCCCACATGGAAGAAGCACACCAGCCTGTGTGATCATGAGTTGCCCATGGGATCAGGCATCAAAGACTCAGAACAAAAAATAATATCAATGTGAATGAGGGGGAGTACAGAGTGGAGACCCAAAGCCCATCTGTAGACAACTGGACATCCCTTTACAGAAGGGTCACATAAGGAAGAGATGAGCCAGTCAGGGTGCAGAATAGCACTGATGAAACATACAGCTTTCCTCTAGTTCTTTAATGCTTCCTCTCCCCCCCCCCCACTATTATGACCCCAATTCTGCCTTACAAGTCCAGCTATCAGAGCATGTACACGGGTACAGATAAGAGCTGGAAACTCAGGGATTCCAGGACAAATTAACCCCTCAGGACCAATAATGAGAGAAGGGATACTAGAAGGGTAAAAGGAAAGTGCGGGGGAGAAAGGAGGAACCATCACAATGATCGACATATAACCTCCTCCCAGGGGATGGACAACAGAAAAGTGGGTGAAGGGAGACAGTGGTCAGTGTAAGACATGTCAAAAAAATTTTATAAATTATCAAGGATTCATGAGGGAGGGAGAGTGGGGGAGGGGGGAAGTGAGCAGATAGCAAGGGCTCAAGTAGAAAGAAAATGTTTTGAAAATGATGATGGCAACATGTATACAAATGTGCTTGACACAATGGTTGGATGGATGGATGGGTTGTGATAAGAGCTGTACTAGCCCCCAATAAAATGATTTTTTTTTAAAGTTGGGTAACCACCGGGGTTGGCAATTCAAAGCCACCCCTCAGAGGAAATAT